CTCACAAATACCTTCAGTACATGTAGAACCTCTCGACCCTTCAGTCGTCCAAAAATACGCCTCTGTTAGTCGTAGCAGGCCATCAGCCGGCGAAGTAGTCGACCAGTTGATTTATGGCGACATAAACAGCACTTCTGAAACAGTGCTTGAACAAACTTTTAAACTTATTGGGGTAATAAGTTCGGAAACTGAGGAAAGAATAAAGCGCAAGCATTATTTCGTACTGCGAAACATTCCGAGCCACTTATCTGCTATGGAGGGAGCGCATGCGTTCCTACAAAGTTGTGGCTTGAGTTTCAGTGTCGCACAAGCTAAGCGACTTCGCTCGCTTAGCCGTAATGCGCCGATACTAGTTACCCTATTCTTCATGATAGAAGTCGATTTTATCTTGTCGAGTAGGGAGATAACTAGAGACTTCTGCCGTAAATGGCGCTGCTCCGTTTCGCCAGACCTCACACCCCTGCAGCGAAGACTGAATAAATTAAAATCGGCAAAAACCAACACCAAGATAATGACACCTACTGTCAGTCTGAATAAGTCCTCTACAACACCACCTGCGGCATCTGCACATCACGGGATATTCAATTCCGTAGGAAATTCGACTACTTTTAATGCTGAGCTCTTTAAACACACCATCACGCCTGGTATAAACACGCCACTACCGACTCCCCCAGCAACCCCTAGTAAGCCTAAGCATGTGTCTAAGTCAAAGGCAAATCCAATTGCTGTCTCAGCCACTCGGACACCCAATAAATCCAGCACCATTATAAAATCTTTTCCTCCAAAATCGGCTAACAGTGCCTTAAATACGCCGACTCAAAACGTAGCGGGTTCGCAACTGCCCCCAGCCCTCATAACGAGGCATTAAGGCCGAATATGCCGATTTTTCCGCCGTTTAATAAAACTATTGCTCCAATGGAAACAATGCGTCCCCCACCCCTAACTTGTTTCCTCCACGGCCGTTTTACCAATTTATTCCTCATGATAATGTCCATACTGAATCAGTTAATTCATCATATCCTCAGTTTCGTTCCGGCGGAAATACATAAATAAATAAATTTCATTTAATGCCAGTTTACAGGCATTGTCAAGGGAAGCGATTAAACACAAATCCGACCAGCAGTGAAAAAAACTCCTGAGCTAAAGGGATAAAAATATAGTTGATGGTGGTTTCTGTGGTTTGGAGGGCTCAGGAGAAAAAACTGCCGGCGGTGGTATAATATCGATCGTCAAGAAGGGGGGAGGTTGCACGGTATCGGAGATTATCGGACGTCAAATTCCTTTCATGAAGTTGGGGATAGCCAAAGTAGAGGCGTTGAGGAACAGCTGGTGAGACCGGCCATATTGTTCAGAGACCACAAACGCCATCGCTACGGTACAGTCGATCAGTAGATTCAGCACCCAAAATTTGAGGAAGCTTTTCTGAATGCAAAAATCGAGTAATAGTTCTCTTAAATAAAGGAGAATTTTGCAGAGTTTTCACACTCATTGGTAGTTTATTCCAAATAGCAATTGCATTTACAGAATAGAACCGACGATATTTAACAGTACGTGCTAGAGGCAGAAATAAGTAGACCTCACGGTGACTGTTACGTCGTGGGTGGATATGATGTCTTAAAGAGGTGAATTGGTTAAATGTGTGATTATATAAGTGTTTAGATAGCACAAATCTATCGCCATCAGAACACTGCAGAAAGATGGTCCAGAAGGCAACTAGTAATCTACACTGGATCAGACGTGCATTTTAAATATTTCCTCCGAACTCCTTGAAAGACTCTTTGGTGTCTTTTTATGACCTCTTCTGGAGTATGGAATGCCAGCAGCTTCACCATGGATGGGGAAAGATATCGACTTACTCGAACAGGTGCAATGCAGAGTGACGAAGATCGTCGACGGTTTAAAACATTTGTCTTATCAGGAGAGGCCGAATTTGCTTGGCTTATTCCCTCTCTCTTATAGATAAATAAACTGCAGTCTACTTTAGACATTCCGCATTGTCCGCTGTCAGGGCTGTTCATTAAGAACGGAGGACTTCTTCGAGTGTGCCCGTACAAACCAACTAGGAGGTCATGCTTACAAAGCCAGGAATGAGCGCACGCAGTTGGACCGTCGAAAATTTTCATTCAGCCAGCAGGTTGTCTGGCCGTGGAACTCGCTTCCAAGCGAGATGGTGACGGCTGACACAATTGGCATGTTCAAAAGAAAACTTGCTCGCCTAGTTTTCGACTGAAGTAGGCTATTACAGCATTACTACACACAGCCAGTTTGGTAAAAAAACTGTTATATACAATCCCTTCGCACTAATTTAAAGTAACTTTAGACACTACCTTATGATTACGATTGAAGTGTGACCTGATCACATTGTAAATGCCTGCAATTTCATTTTTTGAGTACGAATCTGCGAAAGCACAGTACATAAATAGAGTCATCAAGGGCTCAGCCTCTAACCCTCCAAATATATACACACATATACATACATACATACAGAAGGACAAAGTAGAAAAAGAGTAGGAACGGTTCTGTCAACCGCTCTCTTTTGCCAAACCAACACCTTGCATATACCTACCGCTAATGCGGAGGATTGTCATTTCACTTTACCGATATCATCTACAACTGCATGTTCTCGAGTTTCGGTCCTGCATTTTCAAAGAGAAATATTCTGTGCAGTGTGTACGTTACTGACAGCATTTTAGTACCATGCTACTTCTAAGGTCGCTATTGCGTGTGCCGTTTTCAATAGGGTCTTCAAAGGCATTGCCTATTACCCTTAAAATATACTGACCTATGTTGACCTATTATGCTAACTAATTAGGATTAGCCAAGACGATGGATGGAAACTGGTGTTTGGGATAGCTGAACCAGATAACACTCAATGGTTTCGCAAGTGACGGGATAGTTTTTGAGGGATCTGAGCCTATCAATGCGACAGAGCTGTTTTTAGACCTGCTCTTTTGACGCTTGAACTAGTTGATCTCTTTTCTGAGTCCGATTTGATCATATTAAAGCTCGGACTCGTTTCCGCATTTGTTTCTAATTAGTAGACTCTCTTGGAGACCCATGGTTGAAATGATGGTATTGGAGTTATTTCTTCCAGCTGAACAACGCTAAACCCTGCCAGTCATCCATGGCAAGAATCCGTCAGTGGTGTAAAATCCCACAGAAACCCGAGCCTTATTTAAGGAGAGGTAGCTTCTAAGGCGGACCTATGCAGGTGACCATTTAAATCTCCATCCACTTACATATGTAATCGGTCAAAAAACTGGAAATGATTATAAAGGCGCAGTTTTAAAGAAACCTGCGAAGCTAGATGCTTCTGCAGTGGCCTAATTCACAGGATTCTGAAAAACTACATCGGTGACCGCAACAATGGTTTGATGATAATTCAAGAGCGGGATTTCAGTTCGCACGCCAGAGGCGCCGTTTTTGTTCTAATAAGCCCTAAGGGCCACTAAGATGGACGTCGCTCAAGTTCAGGTCCGGACCATCCAGGTCAGCGATGTTGTGGGAGACGATTGTCAGAAGAGGTTTCAGACCTTCTTGGAAAGGTTTATTGTCAAGCTTATAACACCTTTTGTAGTTATAAGGAAAATGATATACGCAAGTACGTCGAGGCCGCGAAAGAGCTAAAGCAGCTTGAGCGAAGCACACTTTCCGTTAACTTCGAAGACTTATTGATGCATGACAGCCGACTTGCGTCGCTTATAGAAGACGAATATTACAGGCTCTATCCTTTTTTATGCAACGCTGTGAAGAACTTTATCAACGACCACGTCCCTGACACTCTTAATTCCGGCCGTGACTTTTATGTCAGTTTTACAGATATTAGCACTCTCAATAAGTAAGTTCTCACGTCCGTTTTATCCGTTTAGGATCCGTGAATTAAATGCTCATCAATTAGGCAAACTTGTTAAGATTCGTGCACAAGTTGTTCGGTCACATCCAGTCCACCCGGAGTTGACGTTGGGAACATTTAAGTGCAGTGACTGTGGCATCATCATTCGAAATGTTGAACAACAATTCAAATACACCCAGGTATTTTGTTCCTGTTTACTTAGAGTCCTGTCATATATAGCCAAGCGTGTGCTTCAATCCCCAGTGTGGGAATCGTTCAAAATTTGAGCTTTTGACCAGCCAGTCAAAATTCGTCGACTTTCAGAAAGTGCGTGCGCAGGAAACTCAAGCAGAATTGTCTCGTGGCAGCATACCAAGAAGGTGATTGTTTTGAAACTGCCTGATAAGCCGTCTGTCTAATTCAGGCACTAACTGTCGATATTTGAGTGTCTTTTTGCAGTGATGTTCATCGATTATTATGGATTAAGCGCGGGTTGCGCGTTATCTTGACTGATTTACAAATTCTTCCAAAAAATTATTTTTTTGGACAGTTATGTGCTGTTTTTGACGCAGTTTTGCTGTGATTGCACACTGATTGATGCCTTATTGCAGATGCTATTGCAGTTGAAAATCTAGCAAAAGCTGACAAGCATATGACACGTGTTCGTTTCGCAGCTTTCGCTAAGCGGTTTCACCCGGTGGCTTAGCTGTCGTGCTGCTGTTGTAGGGCAATTGCTTCTGTTAATGGCCACCAATCACTACAGCCAACGCTCTCGGGATATAACTTTTCATTGTGTGAATGTCTGACCAGGCCTTAGCCCGTAAGAGAGCAGTTTCTGCAAAGACTTGGTGGAGGGGCAGTTTCCTATAGCACCTTAATTCGACCATGCTCAGCGCCCACCTTTCTTTCGACATTGGTTTAAGATCTCGGAATTGCGCTTAACAATGGATGGAGCTTTATCTGATAACAAACAAAAGTCGCTGTTTTAGACCAACATGTGAATTTTCGCCCGTAACCACTCCGTCATCTCACTTTCGGGCTAAGCCGAAATTTGCACTTACTGCGTGGTTTGTCATTGGTTGTATGTCAGACCCGAGAGCCTGCTTATTTTGCAGGTAGTCTTCGGCGAATGCCACAATAGTATCCGCCACCCGTAAATGCTCTAGATATCCTGAAGCCGGGATAACGAATGTCCCCGTGTTTGTGATGCCCCTATCTTTCTGGTGAGTCTGTTAGATACACCGGAGCAGATATATCGGCAGTCTGAGCTGCCGACTTCACACTAGCATTAGAGATGTCCTATCCTTCCCTGTCTTTAGCGACATCTTCGTTTTTCTCCGTTCGTTTTCATCCGGCTGTCTGCCGTGAATGAGATGGCTCATCACACAGTCCATTTGGTCAGCTCTTTTCTGAAACAGTTCTCAGCGCTACTGCATCGTCCCGCCCCTGTTAAACATCAAACATAGGCTTAAATCGCATGTATGTCCCTGTAAAAAAGGACATCTCAAGGGTACTTGAGAAAGATATTGACAGCAACTTTGACCTCCATTTGTCTGTGTATGTTTTTTAGTTCCCAGCTCCTAACCTGTATTACCGTTAGCATGCTTACCTTGAATCGTTTTGTTCCAGTATCATATTGATTTTTGGTTTTTTAACAGCCTGGAAATTTTGTTGCGTGCCGATGCTGTTGAACTTGCACAACCAGGAGATCGTTGTGAATTCATCGGAACCCTTATTGTTGTGCCAGATGTTGGCCAGTTAGCAACTCCTGGTAAGAAATAAAATTTAAATTAATCACCTCCATGTGTCATAGCGGTCCTTAAGTTTCAAATTTTTTTCGATAAACCAGCTCGCCTTATACGTCAGCGGAATTAGCAATTATTTTTGTTCATTAGGTACAAGATATCTTGAGCGCAAAGGGACGCGGACGGTTGACGGTCAAGAATCCGGAATTTCGGGTCTGAAGGCCCTGGGAGTTCGTGAACTGACGTACAGGATGGCTTTCTTTGCATGCACGGTTATTCCCGCAAACGGTCGTGTAAGATATTTCCTCTAGAAATTCCTTGTCTACCGGTTATGCTAAAAAATTTCCTTAACCGGTTTCAATGTACAGTACCTGGTTTGACAAAGTACGGCTGTCCAACTTTCCATTTGCTGTCAGTCCTCGTCTGAAAACAGAGAATGTCAGCTGCACCCCAATTCCATGTCTACTTTTGCCTTTGAATGCCACGCAGCTACTTAGCCTATAGGGCTTGTTTGTTTTGCATCTGTTTTTACGGAGGTCAGACGTCAAGCATACTCCTCTTCGACTGTCTCATTTTATTATAACAATCATCGGCCTGTAGATATACCGAAATTTGTCTACATTTGTACTTAGACTAACTGGATTGCCAGCGCTTCTGCTGGTACACAAAACGTCGAATATTTCCACTTTTTTACAATGATATGTAGATCGCTCATTCCTTAGACACTGTCTTATCCACTGCCCTTTGCGAAGTCCATGGACAATTTGCCAAATCACCCAGCGTCAATAGCCCGTCGGGTAATTTAGTACGTGCGGGATTCTTGTACGCCACTCCTCTAAGTCGCTCCCGTAGACCGCAAAACTGAGAATGACACGCATGTATACTTCGTCTCGTTGTTTTTCTCCTCTTTTAAGTCATTTCACTCATTTTTTCAGTACCTTCCCTCGGACGACCTCGAATCAGCTGACGGTATTTCGTACGAGGCCATGTCTCGTCGTCTCAGTCCTGCTGAACTGGATAAAATTTGCCAAATGAGCCAAGACAAACAGCTCTTTAACAATTTGTGTAGTTCTCTATTCCCCACGATCCATGGTAGTGAAGAAGTGAAGAAGGGGATCCTACTAATGCTTTTTGGAGGCGTTCCCAAGGTATCCCACCTCAGATATGTTCATACCATCTGCTTTATCTTCACTTTTATGGTTTTCTTCCTAGTATTAGGCACAGTCGTTCTTTTGTGCAGTTTTGTATCCTCCGTACGAATTTAAATGTAGTTGCCGACTTTCATCTCCCTCGTTACCTAAAAGCCAAGATGTAAACCAGCTCCGCAAAAAGAATCTGCACTTGTCTAACAGATTTTAAATCAAGATTCGACTAACTCAAACATCTAGCATCCCTTAGTCGATGGTTTAAATTAAGCATCTTTCCTGTGATTTAATGGAGTGGGAAAAGCGCGTTCCACTTCGCAAATAGGACAAGTTATATTATTTGTTCGAGCAAAACTGTGATTTGAGAAGGAGAGGCAGAATGGTATTACCGACAAAGACAAGGGAGACTGGAATGGCCATTTCTGGCTTATTAGCCGTCGTCAGCCAGCCATACCCAAGCCCGAAGTGTAGAACACCCGAGCCTCGAACTCGCGACCTGTTGGTTTAGAAGTCCACGCCTCTACCCACCGGGCCACGAGCCCGTTGCCCTGTCGGTTTTCGGGAAAGGCGTTCATCGGAAGAACGACGTGATTGTGTACGTTTTCAAGCATCAAATGTTCTAGCCTCTATCACAACAGGTAAATGCTTCTGTAAAATTTTAATAACAAGGGTGAACACGCGTATTTGTACTTTCCAGTAGTCTACAGTTTTCCTGACTTAAAAGACACATTTAATGGATGGATGTTATATGTTTGGAAGGCGACAGCGTTCAGTCGCTCGAGTGAAATAATGGTAAAATCAGAAGATATGTGAGTCGTCTGAAAATGTATAACGCGTTGCCTTTATCTTCTCTGACTAGTATATCTCAGATATATCACGCAAATAGAAGCATTTGAGCGGTTTATTTATACAGCAAAGGGGAGTGCGAGAAATATTAAAGCCAAAGGCGTTCGTAAATTTGTGTTCTCATAGTACTGACCTCATTATTTCTAACCCACGCAGTGTGCCAGTCTGTGATATGTATATTCTAATGTTGTAAAGTAACTCTGCGCGTTTCCTCTGAACACGTAGCCCCCCTTTGTGAATACGTTTTTTAATTTACCCTCGGGCCCTACAGACAGAAAATGTATTCGTTTGAATGCAGTTCTCATTGGGTTTTTTTCTGACTCAATATGGGGATGTTATAAGTCTGCCACAGTTGCCTCCTAGAACTTTTTTCTCCATTTTTTAAATCCACCTACATCATTGGTGACTTTTCTGCGCACTTTCGTTTGATAAGTGTTGCTTGAGGGAAAGATAACGTTTAAACTTCTATGTTTTTGCACAAAATCACGCTTGCAAAGCGTAGTTTGTGCCTCTTTTCCACGGCTGAGGGGTTCCAACGTTAACTGTTTTAATTTATCCGTCGTCTGCCTTTTGTGCATTTTCATATCTCCATTTTTACTTATGTCCTGTTTTAAACCTGGGTAGGTCCGATTAAACGCCCACATCTTCTTAGAATGAGATTGCCTCGTTGACTAACGAAAGCAACATGCTACTAGCCCTTACCAGCTGCAAACTTCTCCTCGTGTTATAGGTGACGGAGGAAGGTACTCACCTTCGAGGCGACATCAACGTGTGTTTGGTTGGTGATCCCTCGACGGCCAAATCGCAATTTCTAAAGCAAGTTGAACAGTTTTCACCCCGTGCTGTCTACACCAGCGGTAAAGCCAGCTCTGCTGCTGGTCTAACGGCAGCCGTTGTCCGCGACGAGGAGTCTTTTGAGTTCGTCATCGAGGCTGGAGCATTGATGCTGGCGGATAACGTAGGTCCATGTTCATTAACTGGATAGAAACAGCTATCGTGTTGGTTGTATTAGCCCGTCTGTTCATAAAATCAGCGCGAACACCGTAATTTCTTTGCTAACTTTATGGCAAACTTGCGTGTTGGCATTTCAATGATTGCAGTTTGAATTCTAAAATACCTAACTGCCCTAATTGACATTGTAAATTAGGTTTCTGGAATGGCGAGAAAACAGTCGCGTTATGACAAGCGTAGACGAGGCCTTTGTCAAGTCAGATACTGCATCTATTTTCATTACCAGTCATCTTGATGTAGTCTTGTCATTGGACCACAGTAAAACTGCATAGAGATAGGGATTCATATATGCAGCCAAAGTCATCACCACCAATACATCTCCGACAGGAACCCATTCCTTCCACGCGGACTGCAAGATGTGATCACTTGGGCGACCCATTCCAGTTCGGGCCGTTTGCCATGGACCATGGTAGAATTCTGAAATCTACAACGTCTAAGCAACCCTATTTAGGGATGTAGTATTTACCGTCAGGTCTGGAAAAGGTGCTAATTTTACGTCATCTGCGCAGTTATCTGTGGCCGTTGGACTTAACGCTACGAACAACGGCTGCTCTTCCCTCTTCTCCGTCCCGCCTTTGTGGTTTACTCTGAGAAATTAGAACTCGCATGCACTTTTGGGTAGTCAAATTATCAAATACCCAAAAGTGACAAGAACTCTTTCTTAAGAACTGACCGACGAAGGTAAACCGCGAGTTTTGTCTATTCGCACAGGGTCACTTGGGCGAATTAGGAGCGGGGGACGCCTTCTGGAGCAACCTCTCTAGGGGAGTCGCTTTCCCATCCTGCAGAGCTTTGAAAGTCGCCTTATCAAAGTGGGGCTTTCAGTCTGCGAAAATATATTCGCTGCCATCATGAGGGTTTCTGCTTTGACACTGCCAAAACCAGACGTCGTGAAGGACAAGTCTTACGGAGGTCTGCACGTTTTCATGTTTGTACCGATAGCGCATAAACACAGATCACGCTACCTGAGGGGGGTACTTGGCAGTTATGGAGTGGGGGGCTACAACAACTGTCTTGCACGCCTGATGACCTGTTCGGAGCACAATAATTTCGCCAGCAACGCTGCATCTTCTCCTGATCGTAATGAGACTTCGTAGACGCATCCACACCTATGTCACTAGCAACTGCCGACCTACGTGTCTGTCAGGGGACGAGACCACTATGATGTGCTTGTGAGAAAGGCAGTGTGTGATGTCATGCCCTCTAAAACGGACCATGCGAGAGTTGCCCTAAACTGACAGGGGAGCTAGGTCATTCGTAGCATGGCAGGGAGTATGAGCACACATGCTGGGCTCATATTCGGCCAGGGGAGCCTTGTGAAAGCAAAATGTCGGATTAACTAGTTTTATGGCCACTACCTCTGCCGTCGGAAGTATTGGCTGTCTTAGTTTTCGCTACTCGACTCACGTATACAGGTTTGATGGTTAATAATTGAAAGCGTACTTTTTCCAAACTGGACTTCTTACATGATTGGTTGATTGGTTAATGGGCATTTCATTATGATAGTGCGCTATTCCGTCACCTGACCCTTTAAGTACTTTAACCTATTGCCTTACTGTTCCGTTTTCAATTCATTTCAAGGGTGTTTGCTGCATCGACGAGTTCGACAAAATGGAAATACGCGATCAGGTTGCCATTCATGAGGCTATGGAACAGCAAACAATCAGCATAACGAAAGCTGGTGTTAAAGCCACACTCAACGCGAGGACTTCGATCCTCGCGGCTGCCAATCCAGTCGGTGGAAGATACGACCGCTCCCGCTCACTCCGCCAAAATATCGGCATGTCGGCGCCCGTCATGTCTCGATTCGACCTCTTCTTTGTCCTTGTTGATGAATGCAATGACGTAACTCACTTTTTATCACACTAATGTCCTTGCAGATTGTAGACTACGCGATTGCCCGTTCGATTATTGATTTGCATATGGGCTGTGACCCTCCTTCAGCTGCTAGGTCTTATACTGCTGATGAGATCCGTCGCTATATCGCATTTGCCCGCTGCTTTAAACCCAAGGTAAACTCCTTTGACCTACCGTAATTTTTAAAATATTTAAACTGTTCCAAAACAGGCTTTATTTCGTTTTAGATTAGCATTGAAGCTATGCAGTGTATGGTCGAGGAGTACAAGAAACTTCGCCAGCGCGACGCATCGTCTGGTTCAAAATCAGCCTGGCGCATAACTGTCCGTCAGTTAGAGAGCCTAGTGCGTTTATCTGAGGCCACAGCCCGTTTACACTGCGCGGACGCTGTAAGTCTTACCTTTTAACATCTAGGGACCACTTTGAACCTGGTAACTGTATCGTAAGCTTTTACGTTGTTCGTACTAGGCTGTCCACCTGCTAGACTGCGCTGCAGGCATGTTGAACCAGAACAAGAGTCGAACTGGTCCATTGCACGTGCCAGTGGGGCTGCGTCGGGTCCGCGCAGCTGCTGCGCATGCGTATGATATGTCATAGGCACAAACCTCAGACACTGCGCAGATGGTGGAAATGCATGGGAATAGGAAGAGAGAGCGAGGTTGACTCAGGGCAGTCGATGCCCACGGCACACTAGCTCATTCCTCGTCTTAATAAATCAAACGCGCTTCTATCTATCATTGTTTGCTAAAAGTCGTGGATTGGAATGGTGCTAACTGACGAGATAAATCGGTTCTCTTTTCAGGGCGGCGAGCCAGGCTGCATTGGTTCCTTCATAATGTGGCCTCCGTAGCAAGTGAAAATCATTTGCGTTTTTTACTTGATCAAATATATGAAATTGCGGGGAGCCTGTCAAAAAATATGCGGTACTCCTTCCCAGGTGTGATTTAAACAAGTTGCTGAAAAGCTGCACTCCCAAGCCCTACCTCCCTATTTTGTAGGAATTAGCTTAAAGTTAAATTCCGTGGCAATTGGTGTTGCAAACTCACCAAAGTCATCTAGCCGATGACATATTTATGGACTACAATCAGTATTCTGAGTTTTCGGTGCATCTTACGTTTTGGCTACTGCGCTTCCTCCATATCATGCACGCTTCACCGCCGAGGCCGCGCCAACAGTCAGCGTTCATGGTAGTCCTGAAATAGATCACAAAGCTAGGACTGTGAAATAATGCTTGCTTATGTGTTTGCTAGAGGAATTCTCGGGCTTAATCAGAAAACCGTCTCCGCTTTTGATACCATATAACCGCGGCAGAACAAAGCCTATATTAACAATGTGGTTTGTCGACTTACACATAAGACCAGCTAACTAGCCTCCAATGCCACCGCTCATTTCGTTGCTCCTAACATGCAGTTCAGCTCCAAGCAGCATTAATATTTTATGTTGTGACCTAATTTGAACAAGCCCTTCGAGAGATTTTCATCCCCCATTTCACGTTCTTCTCTCAGGTCACCGTGGCTCACGTTCGAGAAGCATTTGCTTTACTGAACAAGTCCATAATTCGAGTCGAACAGCCCGACATAAACTTGGAAGAACATGAAGAGGCTCCTGTTGTGACTGAAACGCCAATGGAGACGGATCAGGTCAGTCTGTCTTCGCTATATTTTTTGGAGTTTGTTACATTGTCCTCTAAACTTTGTTGCGATATCCAATGAAGACTGTCGGAAATCTGGACATTGAGGAATTCACATCCTGGACATAGGAGCGAACAGCAGCCAGCAAGATGTTTTGCATACTGTATACTACCAGCTTGACACAAGGAAGCAAAAGCGGTTCGGTTCCTGAGTTTAACTTCTACTCTCTGTTCTTCGCCTGTCAATGATAAGTTCGCTCACACTGGCCATTTCGACCCTAGTCGATAAATGATGGTGACATTCGACAAGCTGTTGAGGGGATTCGATCGCAGGGACGTAAATTTGATTGCCCCCACGTTTGGCATTAGCTCTCGAACGCACCATCTGTTGCTGTCCGATCCTTCGTGCGGGAATCTGAGACGCCAGATGCATTAACTTCTCGTCTCCGCAGCCGAGTCTCCCTCCTCGCCAGTAACTACATCGCGTATTCATCACGTTCGCCCTAATTTTTCCTAATCCGTCTGGTTTTCAATTATATACGTTTCAGGCTGATGTTGTGGAGGCAACACCCACTGAGCCCGCAGCCGATCAACCTCAACATCTGCGTATCACCTACCAAGAGTACCGACGCATCGCGGACCTCCTTATATTGCGCACGCGTCATGTTGAAGAGGCCGGTGCTGCAGTACAGTCCGACTCAATCGCTGAATCCGCTGCAATTCGTAAAAGTGAACTAATAAATTGGTACTTAGAAGAGGTAGCGGTCGATACCCTGCAATCCGAGGCTGATCTCATTCAGTGCAAATTGATGGTTGAACGAATTCTGGATCGCCTTATAAAGAAGGTCAGTTTTCTTCATTGTTCTCGAGGTGTCAAACCTTTTTGTCCGTTTTCCTAACCTAACAGCGGGCTCTGTAAGTCGGAGTTTCACTTTACTGATTTCCCTCCCGGGTTTAGGGTTGGAGCACGCCAGAAAAGCCCACTATAGTCCCTGCTGTTTTTGTCGGGAATATTTCTCGGTTACGGGGATGTTTGCAGTGTCCCAAACACCATGAGCTGGGGGATAAACCACATTGGATGTGCTTATTTTAAAAAAATGCACCACAACTTGCAGCCCTCCATTTGTCGTCCATGCATCGTTTTTAATTCACACAGCTAGGTCCACTGCTCCATTGCAGCTCTCGGTATTTTGCACTTGCCTCCTTGGCAAATATGCCTCAAGCTTCTGCCACCATACTTCTTTTATTACCACCACTGCTGTTTCCTCCCTTGCAGGATCATGTCTTAATCTCGCTTTCGCGTAGCGGCCTGGACGCTACATCTGAAGAAGACGCCGACCCGCTTTTGGTTGTGCATCCCAACTACTCTACCGATTAATTGAGATTACATTTTATATATCGCTATTTTTGTAACGCATACCTTGGAAAAGATTTTATATGCATTTCTGTCCGGTCCTACATTAGTATCAAGTATAATTTCTGTCAACGCACACCCTTCTTCCTAGGCATCACCGGCTTCCAATACCGTACAGTACAATAACTCATCCATCGCATGTGATGATGACCAGCATTGTCTCGTGGTTTGGTTGTTTGTAGTAGATAAACAGAATCCCGGATCGGCCTCGCTCTTCACCGTCCGAGTTAAACCAGTTTGCTAGTGTAGCTGCGGACGTGGCCTGAGGGCTCCGTTTAACGTGTGCCACACACAGACTCGCGTCGCCTTTGTTGGAAGTGCCTTAAAGGTCGAATTATAAAGGAGCCACTGTAGCCTGACTCATTAAATAGGTAGATCGGGTTATCCCGCCGTAAGGTTTTTAAAAGCGTTTGGTCCTCACGAGGAAGGACACGCTAGTTTAATCGATCTCAATCGCGCCCCAGCCCCCCCCCCTCTCCCTGTGTGGCCTCTGAGCCTTTCGGCTGACCGAGAGTGAGATTGGGCGTGGTAGCGCGACAACGGGTATTGAACCCAGCGGGCTCAGTGCAGCTCGATTAAATCTTGCAGGAGCAGCTGTGACTTCCCACCTTGGTTTGGCTCTACATCAGTGCAACCAGGTCGGGAGAGTAGACCGTGCGGCATGCCAGAAAAACGCGTTTGATGGACGGACGTTTCCAAAAATGTTTGGGGTCGGGGGAGAGGTTGCCATGGGTCTCCGAGTGTATAGGCTCTGTGCCAGCATGCCTTGTCCCCATGATCAGGCACCGTTTCTATGTGACTTTCTCATATTCTGGTGTTCCGGCCCGCCCTGGATGTTTGCTTCAATGTGATGTGCGAGGTCTCCCTGTCTTATTTGGTGTTAATTCTGTCAGGGCAGGTATGAGTAGGGATGCTTACTGCCGTCGTATGTATCGTCATCAATCCGTCTCTAGCTAGGTCTCCGGATGCGGCTTTTGGAGACGGTCTCATGATCGCTGGCTCGGATAACACTCTTCGGCGTGGTGATCCAACTTGTCAGCTGACGATTCGACATGCTACTTTCGCGACATGCCGTGACTTCGTCTACGGGCACTCGTTTGGCCAGTAAACTAGACTACCTTATCACCAGCTCGAACTGTCTGCCTTATGCAAATTCCTAAAACGGTGGGAGAGTTCACCTCTGTTGCCTCTCCAGCTGGGAGCGCCGGTTTGATTGCCGGAAGCGACCACCCCGTGCCTCGCGAAGTAGGCGCAGGTTCGGTGACTTCTGCGTAAGAGTTTATAGAGAGTCAGACCCTCGCTGCACCTACTGCGCCATCTTCCATTACTCACATTGCTCTGATGGCAAGTCCATGTCAAGACGACCGGAGTTGGGCTCGGACGTAGTGGCTGACAGTTCTACGTACGACCTGTCCCCAAACACATTGACCCAGTTAAATCGGAAGGCGTGCTGTCTGTTTATGTGAGACGTGCATGTAGGCATATGCGATGTTTCGTCCAAAATAACGCCGATGGCACCGTCAGTGACATGCCTGCTGCAACACAGGCATGTTGCTACGAGAGTGACTTATATTTGCGCATTGTGGGGGCAGGTTTATTCAGGATGCTAAGGGGTACACCGTGTAGAGATGGCAAGTAGCATCACAAGCCTCCTATAGACAATGGCTGCCCTTCACGGTCCTTAACTAGCAGCCAACTCTCATCTAGGGCTCCCCGAAGCTGAGCTCTGCTTAACGGCTACGCCCCGGTGACCGCCTCGACTGGCGGGCTAAATCAAATGAGGGTATCCAATGTTGTGCGTCGCCACACCTGGTAATTCTACTGCTCCTCCTTTTCCTCTTCCAATTTTACAAGAGTCGGACGGAGAGGGCGAGATGAAATCCCATTGATGGCCTAGGCTAATTCGGTTTGCTTTTAAACTAAACAAAGCTGTGACGCATATTGGAATTGGGCAGCCATTTGGGGATGTCTAAGCAGCCCTAATTAGGGATGGCACTGCTTACTCCCTCGGGAGGACAGAGATTAGAAAGGTTACCCCAAACAAGTGCTGTGAAATCGCACTATCTGCAGGCAGACCGTGGCTCGTAGGTGCGAAAAGTCGTCGAAACGATCAAACGGACAACTACCGCGTCCGAACCATGAAATATACTTTCCGTTAAGTTTTTCATCCTACAAAGTCGCTTCTTCTCGCAACAATATCATCAATAATTGAGACTCTCACGCTCTCGTAACTAGGTGGAGCATAATGCGCTCCTCTTGTGAAAACGGCTTGGAAGAACTGAAAAACGTGTTCAATTCTGATCGCACTGCGCAGGAATCTGGAGACCCTCAGCACTCCTCATAACAGGGGTCTAGTGCCTGTAGAATAATTTAGGACTTTTTCCGGCTCAGTGGAGCTAAATACTTTCGAAATTCTGTAGCCTATCAAAATTAGGTTTTTCACTTTTCTCCTTCGAACTTTTTCTTCTTCAAAGTCTGCACACTCGTTGTTTTCGCAAAACTTCTTCCACGTCCCTCTTGCTTGTTGATCTCTTTTTACACCTCGTCTTAGCTGAGACTGGTTCGTTTTCCTAAGCCTTTATAAGGGGCAGTGGTTCTTCACGAGATGCAGCAAACAATTCCTGCATAATTTCTAGTCCTCGGTGATATTTCCTGCGAAGAATGCATCCCAGTCTCACTTGACGAAAGTCTCCCAGCCCTATATTTGAGCTCACTTTGCTTATTACATCTAGTACAAAATACAGACGGTTCTCCAACGGAAGTGCTGTGCGGCCACTACGACTGGGCAGATGTACTGAGTATTCCTCACCTATACTTTCAAGATCTTTTGTGGGGACGATATTCGGGCAATTAACCTGTTGCCCTCCACGCACTCTTGTTGGAACTAGGACATGCTGGGTGAGAAGACCTGCAAGTGTTGTCTTCAGGAGACGGTGATCGAAGGCACACCTTGGGCACTTCGCTTGCATATCGCCCGATCGAGTGCCGGGTGCGTTGAAATCATCCGTGAGAATAAAATCAGGTCGATTAGCGATCTCTTTCATGTTTTCCAGCAGCCAAGTACCGGTGCCGGGCTCAGTCCTCGCTGATAGGTACACAGCTATGGTTTCAAGAGACTGTGGCCCTCGTGTTTTTTAATCGGCCAAATAGCCTCCGTATCGTCGGCAATCTTCTCAGTCCTCTCATAAAATGTCAGATTTTTCTTTGAACAGGTGGCAACTTCACTCTGACGGCCCCTTCAGCCTCTCTTGAGTAACTGGCACCCCGGTAGTGCTATTTCGCAATCGTTGATGCTCTGTGGCAGCCAAGTTTCTGCTATTGCTTTAGCATTTCAGTGTATATTGTTTACCAGTATTTTCAATTTGCCGGACTCCGAAAACAGACTCTGGGCGTCGTTATACAAGAATTTCGGTGCAGAATACTCGGCAGTGTCCAGGTCAGTTAGCCTTGAGTTTGACACTACTACGTTAACGTTACCATAATCAGCATTATTTGGTCCCTCTGCCACACAGTGTTTCTCCACATTACTCGTCCCTTCGAAATAGCCATGATTTTCTTTCTCCATCTGCAGGTCTCCTTTCCAACTCGGTCACTAATTTGCGGCATTCAGACGTTCGTATGGAGAGGAGTTATGTTAAAGAGCCTTATGAGAATTCCGGGGGTTGGTATTACTTGAGAGAATCAACCTGGCCTCCTACTTCTCACCCGACACGACTTTAATAGGTTGTGATCATGGTGGCGGCCGCGGCCTTGGCCACTGTTACTTCACTGCTCGTGTTTGGACAAACAACACTGTCTGGGGCAGAGTTCAGGATCCTCATGGGGGATTTGCGAAAACGACAACGACGTCCTCTTTCTGAGAGCTTGTTCCGGACAATACCTCGTGAAGTCAGCGTAGATTACGCCAATCCCACCCTCCTTTCCCCTACTACTACTACTACTACTACTACTACTACTACTACTACTACTACTACTACTACTACTACTACTACTACTACTACTACTACTACTACTACTACTACTACTACTACTACTACCACTACTACTACTACTACTACTACTACTACTACTACTACTGACGTAAGTTATGTCGTTCCCGCGAACTAACGAACTACGGCTTACTAATCTCACTTCCTCTAACCACTTCCTCTTTTGTTCCTAAACAACGCCTTTCGACTCAGGAAAAGGCAACAAGAATGCACCGTCGCTTTAGGCATTGGCATCGGCCCGACTACTTTCTCATCCGCATGCGTGACTGTCAAGACGTGCTGATGACCAGGACGATCTACAATGCCGAGGGCTGTATGGATCATCGTATGGTCATGTAAAAGATGCGACTTCGGCTAAAATCACATAGGAGACCACCACATAAATTGCAGACTGTTCTGTTGAAGTAGTCTTCTCTCCGCTTAGATTTCGGCAATCAGCTGGTTCAGCGCCTGGAAGAATATCGGGCTCCGAACGACAACGCCACGTGGAAGGCAGAATGATGTCAACTAAAGAATTCAATTTACTCTACCGTCAAGAAAATTCTGGATCGCGCGTGTTGCCAACACCAGGAGGGGTTCAACTGTAAGGACGCAGAAATCTTGTTGAAAATAATCGGCTGCACAAGGCCTACGTCAAGTGCCGAAACGACGCAACAACGGTCTTCTTTATATGTCGACCCCTGCTTTAGCAACAGCTGCGGAAATGAAAAATGCGTCAATAGATCGCAAGGTCGGGGAAACACACGAGTATGTGGAGTGAGCCGAAATGAGAAATTTCTCCGCATCAATCGGGAGGGTATATGGGCCCACATCTAAGGCAAGTGCGCCATTGGTCACTTCTAATGGACCAGCAATTGTTTACGGATAAATTGCCAATTCGGAAGCTCAGAGTCGAGCTCTTCAGTGTGTCCTGAATATTCCGTCTCCAATCTCTGATGCCGCCATCAATAAACTCCCTCATTCGGAAACGAATAATGACCTGGACCTGCCTCCTTCCTTCCCGGCCATAATGAAGGCTGTTCACCAGATGTCCAAAGGGGAAGCTACGGTGTCCGAGGCAATCCCGGCCGCATTCTACAGGTACGGTGGCCTTCAGCTAATGGACAAGCTGGCTCCACTCCTCGAAGAAATTTGGCAACAAGAACAAGTTCTCCAAGACTTCAAAGACCCGACCATCGTGCATTTATACAAATACAAAGAGGGTCAACAGGCTTGCGATAATCATATATCCATCGCAATTCTCGAGACAACGGCGATACTTTTCGCACGGATCCTCCACAACCAACTGAACAAGCATCTGAAGCAGACGCTTATCCCAAAAAGCCAATGTGGACCTTGCAGTAGCTTCCGAACCACTTCAATTATCTTCGCAGCCCACTAAGGGATGAGGGTCAACAGCTACACCACCTTCGTCGCTTTAAAAAGGCCTTCAATACAGTCAAGAATGGTAGACTCTGAAAACTTATGCTGTAGTTTGGATGCATGGGGCTATTCATGCAAATTATGCCTTAAATTCACGGTGGGATGATGGCTCGCTCTTGTGAAATGCGTAATATGTCGTTTCTCAATCTAATTGTTCCTCTTGCAATGATCACTCATTTGTGGTCGTTATTCATTTTGATATTAATGAAGCCTTTAATAAGTGCCAAATAGAAAACTCTTAAATAAATAAGAAGCTCTGGGACTTCGCAGCCGCCTTATTGATTTTAATAAGTCATACCTACCTAATGGTTAACAAAAGGTTTAAGTGTGAGCTTCATTTTCCAATGAGAGCTCAATTGTAAGTGGTGTCCTACAAGTTAGCGTTTTAGGTCCTCTTTTGGATATGTTTTACAGTGATGACATCTCGCCGGCAGTTAACTATTCTCAATCATTTATTTACGTTAATAACCCCAATGCGTGCATTTATTCAGTAAATCTAATACCCAACACTGCCTGGAGCAATTCCATGCTGTTTTGCTTGCTCTCTCAACGTGAAGCTCAAAATGGCTACTGGAATTGTCTTCATCAAAATGTCGCTATGTGTTTTTGACCTGAAAGTCTACCCCAACCAATGGTCTTTCAAGACACACATATGCCTGGATGTGCCACCATCAAGGACTTGGGTTTAAGCTACTCCAATAATCTATATCACTTGCCACACGCCGACAGAATTACGACCAAAGCTGCCCAGATTTGTGGCTTTATTTCTCACAATGTTTATTTTCCTGAAATCAAAATAAGACTTTATCGAATGCTTGTACGTCCCATTATTGAATATTGCTGTTCATCCTTTGCTTGCTGGACGAGGCTACTCGTTCAAAAATCGAAAATGTTCAAAAGCATTTTACTAAAAGACTCTTAGGTAAAGAACATCAAAATATTTCCAACTGGGATAGATGCCAGCCAACTAACCTAAATTTCTATTGGTTTTGAGACTAAAAGCTGGCTTCTGTCTCCTCTTTCGCATTAATAATAGTTCAAACCTTCCTCGAAGTTCAGCACTTTCCCCTAGTAGTCCTCCATACTATCTTCACAACTCTTCCTTGATTATACCTCCTCCCGCTTCTTTCCCCTCTAAGCGCTCTCCATTTTTCGCTTGCAGGTATACTTTCGGTCAGCCAATCAATGTAATTGCGGGAAATAGGCTTGCGCCTTTGGACTCCCTATTTGTGCATAAAAATCGATAAATAAGCAAAAATGCAAATACATTACAGCATTAAGTGAATGCAGACATTACTTCATATATGTCACTGATCTCATGGCTAAAAAGTCACACAGTCCGCTTGTTCCTACAGCATATATCTGTCAAGCCGACATTTAAATGTCTCCACAAATTGAGACATGACAATCATCTCGGGCAGGTTATTCAACGGTTCCACGACACGGTTGGGGAAGAAATATTTTCTCACATTCAATCTACCCTGGGGCACACGTAGCTTAAAGGGATGTCCCCCGAGGTTAGTTGTAGTGGAGAGTTAAAAAATGTCATCGCACTGAAGTGCGCAGTCCAAGCCACGCCCGATACAGAAACTTTGTACCAAGTCTCTGCGCAACTGCCCATATTCTCTAGCCATTAAATTTCCGTATCCGCTCACATATCCATCTTTTGTGTAGTTTTGTTTTCTCTGATCCCTTATCAGAACATTGGGTTTTTTCGATTTTTTAGTTCATGCATCGTGCCCCTCACAGAATGTGCTCCATTGACGCTCTTGGCGGAACTCTCGGTATTCGCCACCTACCGGTAGTTTGGTCACATCTCCCTTGCCCCCTCGAAGCAGGACTCGGCTGACTGTAGCCGATCGCATCTGCGTTCCTATCGACACGAGACTGGTTTTTTACTCGTCACTTGGACATGAATGGCCTCATCCTGCATATGAATTCTGCCTTGATAATTTTCGTTTCGAACCTTTTATTCAATACCACATGCAGGCCAGTCCTGCCTGACCCTGACTGTGACTGCTTACGTTTAGGTTCTCTCAACTCGCCACTTCAAGGCGGATAGTCTCATCCGGTGTATGATTCCTGCCTTGACGACGTCCGTTTTGTGTACCTTCCAAATGCATGCCAGCCCTCTCCGACCAGCATATATTTTCTCATAAATAGCTAAGCAATCCATTTTAACTTTGACTTTGCTAATAGAAGTGAAGAGGCGGATTGCAGAAAGTACTCGCGGAGAGGGAGACACGAGCGCTGGAACAAGTGCTTTATTAGCCTGACGTTTTGGATTCTCATTTGAATCCATCATCGGGACAGAGTCAGATAAGGGTAGTGTATTGCTCAGGTGTTGCAATATTTGTAGGATGTAGTTGCTAGGCCGCTACATGCTTATCACAGTTGGCGGCTCCCGAGTGCATCACAGATCAACTCGCCAGGTGTTGAAGTATGCCGTTGCTGTGCCTGCATGCCAGTCAAGATTATCGGCTCCCACTCTCATCGCACGCCGCCGAGTGGCCGACTACCGGATTTCGTCATCCATGTGGACTCTTGGGTGCTTTAGCTCGTCGACATTGATACCGGGGACAGGGGTTATCCGCAGACTCTCCTCGCGTCTAACCACTTTGCCTAGGCTAAATCTTCCTGCAAATATGGATCGGGAGGGTCGTTGCGCTTGCTGATTGATTGTGGACCGGAAAATCATGACTCGAGCAGTTGGCGGCTCACGCGGTTTTCGCTTCAAACAAGAATTTCTACTTTGTCCAATGTGAATGTGTGCTTGGGTCCCGTCGAATGAGCCGCGACTCGGGAGTTGGCGTAGTTTCTGCTCACTGCTGTCGCGTGCTCGGCCAGCAGCGTCCGGAGTATTCTCCCGGTTTCTCCGACATAGTTGCTTTGCCCACAACTGCACCAGATCCAGCAAACGACTCCAGATGTTTCTTGCCGGGTCAGTGGGTCTTTTGGTCTCATGATCTGACGCCTTGTAGCTGCCTCCGGTCTGTGTATAACTTCAATTCCAAGTGGTGTAAGGAGGAGGCTGACGGCTTCCGAGACGTTACCACGTACGAGACAACTCGCAAAAACGTGGGGTTGGGTGGATTTTGTCTCTGGTCTCGTTGAATCAGGCACTAGTTGACGAAGTTGCGCGAGTAGCCATTCACTATAAGCACTCGTCGAAGGTATTTTGATTCAACAGCCTTGTCTTCCGGCCCATTGCAGTGTGTCCGTCATTTGTCTTTTCCAAAAAGGGGGGTTTAAATGCTCGCTATCAGTTTTTCATGAGTGTGATCTGAATTCCTTTTGGAATGTATCTACTCGCTCCAAAATTCAGTTGCATTTTAATTTTCTTTACTTTGATGGTACCCCGAGGATACAAAGATCAAAGGTCAACGCGCGCAGCACAATTTTGAAAAGATCAGCGAAAGTTATATTTTTGAATTTGATTTCGTAATCTCTTGCGCAGTTTTCCAGTGTAGATCTGACAAAATTTCCTATTTTTTGTCATATGTCATCTTAGCTTCCCGTCGTGTTTTGTCCATTTATCATAAAGCGGAAATATAGTATCATAATTTTTCACCAAACATAGCCTCAATCCTATTAAGTTTTACCCGCTTATATCAAAGGTTTTCCTCGTAAAATTTTGAATAGCATTATATTTTAAACGATAAACCGTC